ATGGAGACCCAGCCGTATCTGCAATCTATGGCCACTCCGGAGTCTGGTGCTGCAGCTTCGCAAGTGTCGACCACGGACTCAGGTAGTCCGGAGTCGGAGTTACTGCAGTTGGGTTGCTGCAAGAAGCTGTTTGACCCTGCAGAGAGTCCTGACAGCGAGCGACCAAGCAAGAAGGCCTGCACTCTTGGTTTGCACGCAGAGCCCGCCGTTGAAGCACCGCTCCCCTCGCCGAAGCCGGTGCCCACCCGTCGGTACAGGTCCAAGACGCCAGGTCGGCGAGTGAAGGAAGAAAACCGTGCTGCTGTGCCATCTTGCAAACCGATGGCACCTGCACCTGCACCCGTGCTTCGGTGTGCCACGCCCTTGAAGGCACAGTTGCCTCAGCTTAGTGTGCCGAAGCACGCGGCTGTCGCCCCGTCTGCTGTCCCAGCAAAGTCCTGCTCGCCTGCTGCAGTTCTGTTGAAGAACGAGGAGGTTCCGAAGCCTCCCTCGCCTGCTGTCTCCACTCCGAAGCACAGCTCCCAGCAGAGCACTCCTCCTGCACCCAGCAAGGCAGTTCCACCGACCCAAGCTCCTGCACCTGCACCCGTGAAGAACGAGGAGGTTGCCAAGCCCCCTTCTCCTGCTGTCTTTACTCCGGAGCACAGCTCCCTTGCAGCTGCCAAGACAGTTCCGCCGACCCGTGCTCCTGCACCTGCAACCTTGGTTCCCCACAAGAACCAGGAGGTCGCCAAGCCCTGCTCACCTTCTGTCTGCACTCCGAACAGCTCCGAAACCGCCAACACCCGTGCTCCTGAGGAGGTTGCCAAGACCCCCTCACCGAACCGTGCTCTTGCAGAGGTTTCCCGCTCTCCTGCTCTCCCGACTCCGAAGGACGGCTCTGTGTCTCTAGCTGTGTCGCCCAGGCCAACCGCCGTGAAGGCAAGTGCTGTCCGAACCAAGCCCGACGAGCTCCTGCCGACCGTTTCTGTTCCACCGAAACCCAGTCAAGCCCCGCTGTGGGCCAGCCCTGTGCTTCCCAGCTCTGCAGACTTCCGTGAAGCTGTGCTGGTGGACAGCGACAGCGACGTCGACATGGAGAATGCCACGGTGCTGTATGACAATGAGGATGACATGTTCGCCCAGCATATGCAGCTGGTGCTGCTGCATGAGTGCAGACCCGCTAAGCCGAGTGTTGCTCCTGTGGCTGCGGGCCGTCCAGCAGAGCCGAGTGCAGCCCCAGCTGCTGCAGTCACAGCAGTGCTAGCCGGAGCAGAGCCGAGTGTAGTCCCGGTTGCTGCAGTCAGAGCAGGCTCCGAGGCCGGAGCAGAGTCGAGTGCAGCCGTGGTTGCTGCAGTCACAACAGGCTCCGAGGCCGGAGCAGAGGCGAGTGCAGCCCTGGTTGCTGCAGTCACAACAGGCTCCGAGGCAGCCCCGGTTGTTGCAGTCACAACAGGCTCCGAGGCAGCCCCGGTTGCTGCAGTCACAAGAAGCTCCGAGGCCGGAGCAGAGGCGAACGCAGCCACGGTTGCTGCAGTCACAACAGGCTCCGAGGCCGGAGCAGAGGCGAACGCAGCCCCGGTTGCTGCAGTCACAACAGGCTTGGAGGCAGCCCCGGTTGCTGCAGTCGCAACAAGCTCCGAGGCCGGAACAGAGGCGAGTGCAGCCCCGGTTGCTGCAGTCACAACAGGCTCCGAGGCCGGAGCAAAGGCGAGTGCAGCCCCGGTTGCTGCAGTCACAACAGGCTCCGAGGCCGGAGCAGAGCCGAGTGCAGCCCCGGTTGCTGCAGTCACAACAGGCGAGGCCGGAGCAGAGCCGAGTGCAGCCCCGGTTGCTGCAGTCAGAGCGAGCTGTCTTCGCACCTCAACCCCAGCAGGGGCCGGCGACTCGAAAAAGGTGACGTTCGCAGCCACTCCGACTGCTCTTGCTGCCAACAGCAACCAGTGGCAGGTTCAGGTCAACCCGCAGGCCAGTCTCAACACATGACAGTCAGTAGGGGGTCCCACGCGGTTTCATCTGCAATGGCAGGCAATGGCAATCGTGCCAACCGACAGCCAAGACCGGCAGAAGCACTTCGCAGTGTTCAAGAGGCCTTGCTTCATGCTTTTTTCTGATTGCCCCGATTACCCGGTTCACCTTGAACATGTTTTGCTTGCTGTGAGCCAATTCCACTCCCGCCATGCAGGCAGATCACCGGCAAGGACAAGACTGTGCCGGAAAGCTTGCGAAAGGCCTGGACACAAGCCGTCAACAGCAAGTCTCGGAGCGCCAAGACGGCTCTCTTCCAGAAGTTCTTGGAAGCTGGCGGAGATTGGTCTATGTGCCGTGGCTCATTTATACTTAAATTGATGGCAAGCTGACACGTGTGTGCAAGCCTATATGCAGCATTTGTTTTGCGACTGGTAGGATGACGGTGGATATTTCTCGCACCCGGACCGACTCCGAGAAGGGTGAGAAGATGATGGGTGGGAGCTGTGCAGTCAACATACCATTTATACTTCGTCTACAGTTGTAGCAGGGAGTCTGCAATGTCGTTGTTCGTGCTGATCAGTTGTCGCAGGTTGGAGGACCAAGCAGCAGTTGTTGTCCATGTACAACAACGATGTTGCACTGGTGGAATCCATTTGTGCTGCCAAGTTGGCAGCTGGGCTGGTAAAGCCACACCCCGACCTTCCAGATGACGAGTCCGCTTTGCTTTACTACGTTGCTCGTCCGAACTTTATCAGCTAGCTCTGGTTCATGTTTCGTGGCAGCTCATGTAGCTGGTGCACCCGAAGGTGCTGATTGATATGAAGCACACCACCACGGAGGAGGTGGTTGACCAGCACCGCATTAAATGGAAAGCCGATGTGGACGGCTCGACAGAGGCTTCACCGATCGGGTTACATAAACCTTAAGAATGAGTATGTTACCTCGCTGTTTGTAGGGTTTCTGCTCACAGGCAGGCCGCGACCTGCTGAACGTCGACATGTTCAATCACATGGGGGATGTGCGGCTGGCTTTGCCGTGGAGGCCCCCGCCAAGCATCACAGCCGGTGGCGAAACCGGTTGCATGGGAATTGGTCCGGGCAGCTCGGATGCCTCTGCAGCTGATTTGGAAGCGGCGGTGAAAGGAAAGGGCAAGGGCAAGGGCAAGGACAAGAACGGCAACGGCAAGGAGAAGAAGGAGAAAGAGCCGCATGGGTGCAATAGCAAGAGCCATTGAAGCCCCACACCCTTATAAACCCTTAACCCTGAAGCCCTGAAGCCCCAAAACCCAAGCCCCAAACCCTAAGCCCTTAACGCCGAAACCCCAAACCCTAAGCCCTTATCCCTGAAGCCCCTTAAGAAGCCCCTTAACCCTGAAGCCCCAAACCCTGAACCCTTAACCCTGAAGCCCCAAACCCTAAGCCCGTAACCCTGAAGCCCCAAACCCTAAGCCCTTAACCCTGAAGCCCTGCAAACCCTAAGCCCTTAACCCTGATGTTTTTGAGTATGTCCAAGGCCTATGCCTGCTGATCCGATTGATGCTCTGGCTTGGCTGATTCCGGAGTTGCACAAGAGGATTTCGCAGGCAAGTTTGCTTCCCCTGAAGTTGCAGGGCGAGTACTTCGAAAAGCTCCGACGCTGTGCTTGAGTTTCGTGTGACGCTTCAGATTTCTGGTTTTGTGTGCATGAGAGAGGAGCATGCTCCATGAATTCAGTTTCTTGCATGCAATGCATGTCATGAGGCGACAAGATTGTGGCACACCACGAGGAGCTCAAGAAGTCTACGATGGATATCCAGAAGCTGCAAAAGGAGGACAGCTATATTTTATAGAGGAGCGGTAGCACGCAATGAGTTTGCTGTTCATGCATGCACGCAGGCACGCAGTGCCGACGTGGAGAATCGGGCAGCTGCACATGTTCGATTGGCCATCCAACGGATGAACATGTACCAGGAAGATGCTGCGATTGCAAACCAATCGGCAACAAAGCCGGTGAAAGCCAAGAAGAACGATGATAAGGCCGGTGATGTATCGAGAACAACATATTGTAGCTTGTTTGTGGATGATTGCAATAGTCTGTTGGTTTCTGTGAGCTGCTCGTGTTTATATTCCTATATAGCATGCCATGGCACGCAGGCCTGAGATTCCGCGAGGGCTATGCGACCGAGCTTCTGATCTTCTAGATCTTGGATGTGATTTCCCCTTAGATGCTGTGACCGGCCCGGGGAAGCCATGACTGTGAAAAGTATTTTAGGGTTTTGTGGCATCGCTCGTGCTCGTCTGTGCAATAGCCATGTGCACGCAGCTGAACAGTCGTTCTATATATAAGGTTGCATCTAGATATATCGCAAACTCTGTACGCATGAAGGTGTGCTGGACGCATGCACTGTTCGCGAAACGAAGTACGAACAGCCTTGCAGCTGCCGCTGCAAGCACATGGCAGTGGTTACCGCCAGTGGATCTGTGGACTGCATGCATGCATGCAACATAAAAACAGATCTGCTAAAGCTGATATGCAGTGCTGCAGATGTTGACTGGCAGAATTGGGCTTGCAAACGCAAAGCCCGTGTGGATCACGAAGCGATGTCGCCACATGAGAGAAAGGTCCGCTCACGCAGAGGATGCAACTTTCATGATGGCTCCGATGCATAGTGTTTCCTGTGATCTCTGTCTGATCAGGGGCTGCTGCTGATGGTGAGAGAGCCGATGACGGCATCATTGATGCTGCTGACCCTCTGCTGACTCAAGGATGTTTATAGATCCGTTCATGCAGTGGCCTTTTTTCATGTGTTTTGGTTTGCATGGCATCTCCAAGGATCCTACACAACAAGCTGGAAATCCAGCTGCTGATGATAGTGAAGTTATTGTGCTCTTGTTGCATTTCGAATGCATGTATTGCTACTTCTATATTATACGGTGCATGCAATGTGACTTGCAACTCGGCTAAGGTACTTGATGCTCCACTTGATTTCGGTGGAGATGCTGGTCGCCCGCAAGCTACAATTCCAGATGAGTTCCGCAGAGTACATGCACCTCTGCTGCATGTCGGCGATGAATTGTATGAGTTGCCGATGATGATCGATTGCATGCAGGCTCCACATGATTTCCGTGGAGATGCTGGTACGCAGAGACGACCAAATGTGTTCCATGGAGTTGCTGCTGAGCCCTAGCTGCAATTGCAACATGACAGTTGCCTTCGAGAGTACAGTGCAATGTATATAGGTGTGCATGATGTGTTTATCTATAGGAACCGGGACTTTTACGCGGTGGCCGTGGAGATGCTATTGCAAATGAGTCCCTCCAAGATGAGTCTTAGCCGCACTTGCATGCACAAGCAGTTTTTTATGCCGCATGGGGTTTATAGTGGTGAACCTGCGACGCAAAAGTGCGATTGTCATCCGAGGGTATGCCAACGCCGTCCGCCCCGTCTGGTGTCAAACGGAAGCGCCAACAAGAGCCCACGGAGGCGACGCTACCGAAAACGGGATGCATGCTGTGAGCTTTTGTCGCATGTGTTTCACGTCTGTCGAATCCAGTATATCTTGTGGTGGGGTGTGTGGGCGGGCCTAGTGGGGACTTGTCCCCTCTCTCTCTTCCCTATCTCCCTCTCGGCTTTCTCTCTTTCTCTGTCTCTTTCTCTTTCTTTCTCTTTCTCTCTTTCTCTCTCTCTCTCTCTCTCTCTCTCTCTCTTTCTCTTTCTCTCTATATGTCTCTCTCTCACTCTCTCTCTCTCTCTCTCTCTCTCTCCCTCCATCTCTTTCTCTCTCTGACAAACTTCTCTCCTCTCCGACAGGCGGATGCCTTTGGCGACATGTTGATCGATGAGTTTTGCAAAGGGCAGCTGACTGCCGCAAAGGACAGCCGAATCTAAAGCCACCAACCATTTGGATATCCCTAACCCGTACGCCGTATATGATGTATACACACAATATATAACGTATACACCCGATACTTGAAACCCTGGAGGTGCAAAGCTTAGCTTCGGCCGCTGTGAAGTGGCACGCTGCTTTAGGCGGCGGCGAGGTTGCCAGACACAATCTGGTGGCGAAGCTGGCCAAAATTGGGACTTTCGGCAAGCACAGGTCAAATGCAGAGAGGGATCTGCACACCGTGATGCGAGAGAGAGGTAAAACCATGGATGTGGATGTGCTGCCTCTGCAAGCGAGGGTTTTCAACTACAAGAAGAGGCTGAGTGAAGAAGAGGAGGCAGCCAACGTGGAGAGGAAACCGTATGCTGTTACATGGAAGCCTATTTCTGTTATCCCCCCGGACGACTTGCTCTGTGCTATCTGGAACAGCAAAGGGGAGCAATACTTTCGTGATTTTTTCTTGCCCGTGGATCCGAAACCTTACTGGGACAATCTGGAGCAAAACGCTCCATGGTTTCGGGAGCACCCAATGTTTGGATGGAAAGGGGACCGCTCGAAGCTTATCCCGGTGAGCTTGTACGGCGACGAAGTTGCAGCCTATAAGGCCACGGAAGCCGGTTCAGTTTCTGTGATCGCATTTACGACAGACCTTACACCGAAGCAGGATCCACTTGGCCGGTATTTTTTGGTATCGGTATACAGCGATCACACAGCTACGTCCGAAACATACGGAGACGTGCTCAATGGTATCATTCCTCGTTTTCAGAAGCTTGTGTCACCGGGGTTTCAAGGTTTTCCATGGAGCAGTCACGGCTACCAATTTTGTTGGAGTTCGTGTCAGGGGGATCTCAAGTGGATAAACGACAAATACCAGATGCAGCCGTATCGGAACAATCGATTGTGCTCGTACTGTCCCTGTTGCAAGACTCACGAAGACAAGAGCATGACGTTGGGCGACTTTCGTGAAGGTGCAGCTCACACCCTCACACGCTATGATCACAGGCATTTCATTGCAAACACGCCACCGGAGAATCGAACCTGAGATGCACAACACGTCATGTTGCAAGTATGTTGTGAATCTTCTGCTTTCGTGACTGCAAATAAGGACATGTGATCTTCCAGATCCCTGGCATGCTTTACGAGAGGTTCCTCCACGACCCGTGCCATGGTCAACTGCTTGGAACTTCGAAGGTTCTGAACGGCTCCTCAGGCAGAAAGCTGGTATATGATTGGTTTGCCAGGATTTAGTGTTTTCGTTGCTTATATATACTTGGCTATACCATTGCAATGCCTTGACGATCTGTTGTTTTGAAGGTGCTGCTTTGGTGTACCTTGCGGAAAACGGTTGGTTCGGGGAGTGGCCAGCCGCTGGCAAGTACGATGCTAAATTGGCTCCGCTTCTCAATGTGGCTTATGGCAGGTTTGAAGATTGGAAGAGGAAGTGTCGCTTGCAATGTACTCAAGCGAGGTTTACACCTGCTCGGCTGAACAGAGCGAAGAAGGCACAATTCCCAAGCTTGAGTGGCAAAGCAGTGGCACAGAAGGTCATCAGCTTTTGGTTGGCTGAGGAGACAGCTTCTTTTGCAAAGCGAGCAGGCAAATCAGAGCAGGACGAGCAGTTGGCTACTTGCATGCTCACGTACATTCGTGTTTTGCGATTCCTGGATGAGTTTGGCATGCTTTTGTCAGAGCAACAGGCTGCTGAATTCTACAAGGCAGGCATGTCACACTTACGCATTTATGCAATGCTGCATTCCGAGACGACTTTCATGTTCCAGCTGTTGCCCAAGCACCATTATTTCCAACACATGATCCGAGATGCTTCGCAACACAGGGTGAATGCCGGCATATACACGCTGCTGGCAGCCGAATCGTTTGTCGGCCAGATAGGGCGAATCAGCAGGAGATGCCACAAGGCAACTGTGTCTTGCAGAACTGCACAGCGATATCTTGTGCAACTCAAATCTCGCTTGCACCAGCCTGCGATACATGCGACCAAGCGGAAGCGAGAGGGAGAGGAAATGTCGGGAGATCGTCTGTTTGTGTCTTGGGTTTTTTACCACTCGCCTCCGGCAAGCTTGTAATTATAATTGTAAAGGGCCAAATTGGCAAACCCTTTCCTTCAAACCCTATGGGGAGATGGCAATATATTTAACCCCGCAATGAAAGCATGCATGGCCCGCGAACCATTTATCATGCTACCTGCCTTGCACGTGGCCATCATCAAACCAGTGATGACCCATCATATGGATACCTGGTAATATAACCCTGAACCCCTGAACCTGCAATGCACGTAGCGCCATCAAACCGACCCTTTGGGTAGTCTTTAAGGCTTTAGGGTTTAGGAGTTTAGGGGTTGAACCTTTAGGCTGTAGTTAGGGTTTTAGGGTTTAGGATTAGGGCTTACGCTGGGGTACTAAATAATGTTTTTGTGTCTGGAATGAACCTCTGGAGGGTCTTAGGATTTATGGCTTGAAGGTTTAGGAACTGTAGGGGTTCAGGGTCTTACGAGGGTGGGGGGGGATGGGGGGATGGGGGGATGGGGGGGGGATATATAGTCAGTTGCAGGGTGCAGTTCAGAGCATCACTTCACACCCTGCCCTAGAAACCCTAAACCCTAAGCACTATACACCCTGAAACCATATGCTGCTTCCAGGGGGCATGTAGTTCGACTCGTAGGCCTTTGCGTTTCGAAGATGGGCCTCATTCTCTCTGAGACCGTTCATCGTTGCCTGGACGAAAATGGCCGTGATGATGTTAAACCTAAGCTGAACGGTCGCGAATGCTTCACAAGCAGCAGTGTTCAGATTCTACCTGCCTCAGCACCTCTCGAAACCTCACGGGTTTAGGGTTTACGGTTTGGGGTTTAGGATTTTATCGCACGAGTTCCGTGTGTCAAGCTCGCTTCAAGCCCGAAGCACTAAATCCCAAGCCCCACGGTCAGTTGCCCGAACTCTCAGCACCCACCCCCACAAACGACGAGTGGCTAACCGGGGGTCTTTAGGACTGCTGGAATCCCTAATGCATGGGGCACAGACTTGGTTTTTGCAACAACCTATACAACACGAGAACAGGGTTTTGATGCAATTATATGAATATTTGGTCAGAAGTTGATACTGCAACCGAACTCCTATAGTGCACCCTACAATGCACCCAACGGCTTCTGGATGGAATCGGCTTTACATCAGTGAACATTGTTGCCTAAAGTAGCCAGCAATACTTCAAAAAAGGGCATCGCCGCAACAGAACGGGCTGGCGAATTTGCTTTAGGGTTCAGGCTTAAGGCTTTGGGCTGTAGGATTTGGTGTTATGGTTTCCATGTTCAAGGTTCACTTGCTTAAGAAGGACAAAGCTCAGTCACTCCTTGCGACTATTCCTGGGCTCATTGTAAGGGCGATCGCTGGACTTAGACCCCAACCGCAAACCCCCCAACTCTTTCCTCTGCTATACTCCAAAAACCTAAGTCCTACAACCTAAACCGGTACCCTAAAATCCAACTCTAATCCCGATATGAGCCCACACCCTTCGCATTTCTGAAGAGTTCAGTTTGCAAACGTTTGGCTCAACTCTTACTGCCCCACGGCTTGCTATTATCTTTGGCAATGGGTTCTACTAAGGTTTGAAGAGCTTAGAACAGGGTGCCCCATAGGAGTTCATGGGCTTCTTGTCGAGATGTTACAGCGGCTTGTAAGGCTCTATCGGGTGGATGTGTTGGCTTGAAAAATTGAAAGATGGTTGGAGGATCAAAATAGCCTGAGGACTCCAATTATACAAGTAGGTCTAGTCTATAAATGATACCTACTTTGGGCTATGTGGAATCCCAGCTACAGCTCCCTTAAACCCTGAACTCAAAACGAAAAGTATAATGAGGAACCCTAAGGAATAGTATTGGTACTTATTGGGGGGCTACTATAGTCTGGGTCGGCCTTTAAACGCCCTGAAAAACATTTATATATATAGGGTCGGTCCCGTATAAACCCAAATAAGGAAAATAAAAAATGCCCCAAAATCCAACTTACTAGTAGACTTGGCGGGTCGAGCTGCAGACCGAAGATAACCACCACCATGCTGAAGGCGTAGAAGAAGTCGAACTTCAAGCCGAAACCATCGCCTTGAACGGCTTCTATAAGGCTTCCTTGAAAGGTACCTTTGGGTTTAGGGTTTTTTCCCCTCCTACTTAACCATGACGAGGCCTGCATTGCAGGGTAAAGGGTTTCATCAGGGTTTATAAGGGCCTCTAGCTATCATTTTTATAAGGGTTCCTATGAGGGTTCCTGTAGGAGGAACCTGGAGTTTCCAGGGCGTGCGCACGGAGCCCTACGGTTTCTTCAACTTAGAGCTTAGGGTTTTTAAGGGCTTCAGGTGTTGTTCACCTGGGGATCCAAAACCCCGCTGTTTTAGGGGTTAGAAGGGGTCATAACCTACCATGTTGTAGGGTTTGGGGATACAGGTACCTTAACCCTGAAGAACCTACCTTTTTCAGGACTTATATAAGGAAATCATAATAGGGAGCCCTAAAAAAGGTAGGTTATTCAGGGTTAAGGTAGGGTTTAGGAGGTTTAAGGATGAAGTTTTTTGGCATAGGACCAACGTTTGTGGTAGGTTACTTAAAGGATCATGGGACTTAGTAATTGGGGTTATAATTAGGATAACTACAGTTATAATTACTTATAACCCCACTTAAGGTACTTATAACCTTACTTACTAAGTCCCATGAACCTCCAAATAGACCCTAAACCCTAGACCCTATAGGTCCCTTTAAGAACCCTATAGATCCCTTTAAAGAGCTTTTTAAGGAGCCCTTTAAGTACTTACTAAGTCCTAGGAACCTCCAAGTAGGGTCTCGAAACTCTAGGGTTTCGAGCTTTGGGTCTGAGTCAAGGGCATATAGCCTGGAGGGTATGGCACTAAATCCCAAACCCCAAGCCCAAAGGCCCCTAGTATAGAGGCCCTATATAGGATAGGGTTTGGGGCATATTATTTTAAAACTGTAATAATGAAGCCCCAAAATCAGATTCTAGTTATTAAGGCCCCTACATTAAGTCTCAAGGCCAATGCAACCCTAATAGCCACGTCAACCGAGGCACTGAAAACCATCGTCAGAGAACGGCCGCCACGAGATGTGCACTCTCCGATCATGCATCGGAAGATGGAGAACATGCAGTCAAGAACCTCGGCTTGCGAAGGTGTAGGGCTTAGGGCTTGTAGGGTTTCCAAGGGTATTAATAAGGGTTTACAAAGGGCTTGTTTAAGTTCTACAGTGAACCTCAAGAAACTGGAACACTGATTTGGGACGTTTGGTGCTGGGATTCGCTATAGCTTACCTTAAGGGCATGAGGATAACGATGTTCCAAGTTTCTGGCTTCTACTTTGCACTTAGAAGCTGAATACGTTGTCGGCGCGCGCACTGGTTCGTTTTCACAAACATTGTTTTACACGGGCTTCTTGATGTTGATGCGGTTCTGTGAGTTTTCCTTACAAACCCTAAACCCAGTTTAATCGGTTGTTGTGGGTAGATTCAGAAGTGTACCGGAACCTGTGGTGTGGACTCGGCATGAGCTTTTCCAAGCATTCGAGGCTTTGAACAGGGGACTGTAGAGCCTACCTGTAACACCCTCAAAAAACCTGTCTTTCTGAAGGGGTCGTTGATATGGCTTCTCAATATGTTTCCTTCCCAATGTACACCACTGGGAGACCTACTTAAAGATTCAGGGAACTTAGAAACTCGGATTATAAACAAGATAACTGTATTTATAACTTTCACCGTTATAATATTTATAATTTACCCCAATTACGGTACTTACAACTATACTAACTAAATCTACTTTAACGGATAACTAATTGAACTATACCCCCAAACAAGGTCCACTTATAACTATACTTGAACTAGGTCCCATGAACCTTCAAGTAGGGCTTCATACCTATAGATTATAAGCACAAAGTCCCATCAACCTTCAAGTAAAATACCAAGGCACTGAGGCGCAGTACTCCTCGCCGTAGAGGTAATGAAGCTTACATCCCGCAGGGAGCTCCTCAGGGGAGCTGATACATTGGTATTTTGTGTGCAGTGTGTAGAGTTTAGTATTGAGGAGGTATTTATGGGTTTAGGGAATCATTAATAAGTGCATAGAGTTTAGTATTCGGGTTTAGGGGTTTAAGGGATCTAGGGTTGAGGGCCGCAACCTACCAAACCCTCTAAGTTGTCCCATGTCTATATTCGGGTGTAAAATGAGACCGCACAAAAAGGCGGGTTATTGGAGCGTAAAGTAAGCTTAGGGCTCGGTGATTACGGTTATCAGTTAGTTATAAGGCCTTGCAACGTACACTATAGCTTTGTATAGGGTTTACTATGCTACCGGCTAATGTAATTGGCTCAGGGGCCTTAAGAATCACAGTTTGTTCAGGGTGTACATCATACAATAAGAACCTTCAGCAACCCTTGTGAGGCATCGTAGTAGCAATTATCGAGCGCTTGGATGCTTGGGGATCGTTCTAGGGTGCACCCTACAGTTTAGTTATATGTGTTACGATAGGTATTTTAAAGTAAACGGATGCATGCTTATGCGTGTACATTGCTTTTCGCCAGCAGCGCATTTACATACATGAAGCCCTCGGCCGAAAACGAAGGCTGAAACTAACAACAGCAATGAACGCCAATCAGAAACCAACAAAAGCCTAGACGCAATTCCAGGACAAGAACCACACAACCACAACCACAAACACACACACACACACAAAGCAGAAACATCATGCAAAGCAAACCGAAGTACCCTCAACCCGGCATGAACAACGCCTTTGCCAAACGACACAAAACAAAAACCCAAATCCTAAATCCTCGACTCTCAAACCTCTCAGCACCCCACGAGGATGTACACTGCTTATCACTCCTAAAAACTACAAAAATATGGGAGTTTCCGAAAATAGGGGACCCTAATATAGTACCCTAAATAGTGGGATCCTTATTATAAGAACCTCAAAATAAGGTACCCCCTATTTTCGGAAACTCCCATATCAATACAATACCCTAACCAATTTGCACTAAACCGGAAAAACTAAATCCGAAAACTGCTACAGGCAACCCGAA